TATTTGTTCTTAGCAGAACATCCATGAGCTGACTTGGTATTTTATAGTGATATATATTGTTTTATTCTTTCTACCTAGTTGCTAGATTATGTCTTGTTTCCTCTGGAGATAATTTGGGCCCCATTTTCATGCAAACAGCAATATTTTTTTTAAAAACAGTAAAAAAGGGAAACTTTATATAAGTAGTCAAATTCTTTCTCCAATCCACTGATATGAAGGTCTACAATTACGGAACTTACAACTATTTTGAGACTAAGGAACTGCTGTGTTTGGGCACATAGGCTCCTTCCTGGATGTGTTTTGTGCAATCATTTGTTTTGTTTTGTTTTGTTATCAGTGATGAGAATTAAACCCAGGACTTCTAAAATGTTAGACCTTCTACCACTGAGCTATACTTTCAGCCTGGTTCAAGCAATCTCACCATAACAATAACAAAGTATGCTTTATAGAAATAAATAAAAATATTCTCTCACTACCTTATTTATGGCAATATTAAAATTGTTAGTAGCCCATATGTTATGGGCAACAACCAATCAGAAAAAGAAACACTTAAACAATCAAGGTATTACATTAGTACAGATTAGAGGGAAATGATTTCTAGCTACTCTCATGAATAAATCCTAAGGGCCTAATCACTTCCTCAAATGATCACAGAATTTAAGTGTCAAATCATCTCTTCTAAATGAAAGAAAAATGCCCATTGGGAATATGGAGCAAACACAACAGGCAGGACAAAATATTTTATCAGTAGAGTGGAAAGTGAAGGGGCTGGGAATGTGGCTTAGTGGGAGAGGGCTTGCCTAGCATGCATGAAGCCCTGGGTTCAATTCCTCAGAATCACATAAACAGAAAAAGTCAGAAGTGGCACTGTAGTTCAAGTAGTAGAGTGCTAGCCTTGAGCAAAAGAAGCTCATGGACAGTGACCAAGACCTGAGTTCAAGCCCCAGGACTGACCAAAAATTTTTAAAAAAGTAAGAAAGAAAAATAAAAAAAGTGAATTCTCAATTCCTTTAGCTTCTTAAACAGGGCGAGTCAAGCTGTAAGTAGTGAGGGCTTTCCCAGACCATGTGAATTGATGATTCCACCACCATTCCAAAAGCAGCAAATAGCAGCAGAATAAAACCTGAACAGACTGCATTGGGACTCATGTCCCAGTTGGATGGAATTGATTGGAAGTCAAGGTGTCTCCCAATCAATGTATTTGATATTCTTTTTCTCTTCTTCTTTATACTTTCTTTGTTTTTCCTCTTTATTCTTACAAGGTTTTCTCTGATGATGAGAATAACTGATCAGAGTTACATTTGTGAATGTTAGTAACAGAGAGATAGTGAGTGTGAGGAAAAGTCACATGAACGGACAATGAAATGAGAAGTAAGATTGACCACTTCCTGAAGCTTAGGTCTTAAGTGGGGACATAGCAGGATCTTAGGGGTGTTGAGATTTGAATTACATATTAGTTATTGTATGTGTGTTCTAGAGATAACAGGATTAACCAAAGCTGGGTGTCAAGCCAAAAGACAGTCCTAGAAATAAGCAGAAAAAAAATCAGATCAGTATGATCTGGGTGCCTCTGAATTTAGAAATTTACATTTTGAGTCTCTAAGGACCTTCCCAAGTGAAAAAACACAAGAATGAACCCAACTACTCTATGTCCAGGGAAGAGAATGTTCATGAGGTAAAGACAAGGGAGACCCATCACTCCCTCTTACCCGTGTCTAGCTTAGATCATGCCCTGTCTAATCTAAAAGGGGCCTGACAGCCATCTCATTAGTGTACCTCATTTTAAAGCCACTGAGACTTGGGAGAATTATTTAAAAAACATTTTTGAAGTTCTTAACAAGCTGTTTGCAAATGTTACTTTTGAACCTTCATAGTAAAACATGGAGAGGGTGCTTTCTGCTTATCATATGAAAATATCTCTAATTTCACATATTTTCTAACTCCCCCTTCCACCTCAACAGAATAGTTCTCTTTCTTAAAGACTTTTACAGTCTTCCCTCAATTTTATTTTACAAAATATAATATGCTACAATTCCTAGAAGGAAGGACCTTCTTACATTTCCCATCGGCCCTTTGTCACATCACTTTTTTTAAGTATGAAGCTTTATAATGACATAAAATTGTTTGACAAAAATAAAGTTTTCTCTTTGGGAAAGGTGGTGTTAGTGGTGATGCACTTAAGTATGGATTTCCTGCTCTGTAAACAACTTATTGGTGAATCTGAGTTCCAAAGCACCCAAGGATCACTAGTATGTGAAAATGGCTTTTCTGGAATCCTAAACTGGGATGGAAGTTCAGAATCTTGTATCCCATAATATACTGAATAAGACAATCATTTTTTTAAGTGGACGCAAACAGGAAGACAGTCTTTCCCAACAGAGATGGGTGAAGACTCAGAAGTCAATAAATAGAAATTAGGAAGCTCTGATAGTTCCTGGATTTCTCCATTGGTCTAGAATTGCTGCTTCTGTTTCCATTTCCTCTTCAACTCAACATTTTTACCAAAGGGGCCACCATCTATTTATTTTGTATACCTTCTAAAACCATGCCCAGTTTTATTTTCTGACCCAGAACAACTCATGGGTGTGAGCCTAATGCTCTACCATATAAGAAAATAAATTTCTACCATCTTGGTTTTTGTAGGATGTCATAAATAAACTTGAGATGGCAATGGAGTTTGTTACTTCCACATTGCCTTGGTGTAGAGGAACACGGGGAAGAGGATGACACTGAGCACTGTGTCCTATATTACTCCAAGGGAAGGTTCTTGAGGTGACCCCCACTGCCTGCCATAGGAGACCAAAGAGCTACAACAAATTCAGAGGTGGTTCTCAGGAAGGAGAATGAAGAGGAGCCCACTATGGCTCATGAAGGAAAGAAGAGCATGGATTGGTATGAATGTATTAGGTGATCCCAATGCAAAATCATTATGTAAAAGAAGGCCTAGCTTTCAGAAAAGCTGTCTGGTATTCTAGCAGGGGGGGTTCTCCCCACAAACATTTTCAATTTTATTGGAAACCAAGAAATGTGTATAAGCCTGAATAGAGACTGTTGACATTATTCAATCAGCTGAGTAGACTAGTGATTGATTATAAGTATTGTTTTAAACAATCCAATTGGACATAGATTATATTCACAATACTTTTATAGAACTAATTCTACAAAACGTGACAACAGAGTAACCATAGTCCGACAAGTCACTGCAGGACAATGCCTACAAGGTGCAAGTACAACTACATTGGCTCTGCAGGGAGTAGACAGAGGTGGAAGCTCGTTTGGCCTATGTTGGTGATCGGAGTACTTTGTGGACATGTGTTTTCATGGTGTCTCATTGCTTTGCTCTGATCTGGTTTGCACTATCAAAACTAGATACCACAGGGTCATGGCCTAAAAAGTTAATGGAATAGATACCATGAGACTTTGGGGAGATATTTTGACTAGTTTGGTTAATTGTCCACAGTTTACATTTTATAAGAACATTAAAAAGTCACTATCACATCCATGCTTCTCCAGAGACCCTGATGATTGTGTTGAAGATTGACAGTTTTGAAGTCGAAATACTTGTTAAGTCATTGGAACAAAACAGTAGTTGGGGCGATTGTACACTGAGCATGCAAGCAACAGCAGAGTTTCTAAGACATCTCATTTGTGTCTGGTGGTTAGAAAAAAAATCTGTTGACCACAGTTTGAAGTGGCTGATATAGTTTATTTCATTGCTGGTAATTTTTTTTCAAAGGCCTTTTACTAACAGTCTGTATTAAGTGCATCAGTTACTTTCCTTTTTTGTTATTATTATTTAAAAATTGTTTTAGCAAGTTGTGTGTGTGTGTGTGTGTGTGTGTGTCTGTGTCTGTGTGTGTTGTCCCAGCAATTAAATCAAGGCAAGCCAGCAAATTAAAATCTGAGTGAAAACCATCTCCATAGTGTTAGACATTTTCTGGCTCTCTAACAAAAACTCAGTGAGAAGAACGAGTGCAACTTAGATCCTGTTCTTAAGTAAAACTGTTCACTGGTGTTCCCATACTTTCAGGCTACAAAGCTCTGAGACTTGGGGAAGGATTAGAAGGAGAGTTCACTAGATCCTGTTAAAATGGAAACCACTTGCTTGAGTAGTTTGGAAATATGACATGAGAAGCATAACAGCATTTAGGAGTCCCCACCATCAGAGCAAATCAAGCCATGTCTTGCACAAATCTGGTCCTCAACATCCGTATCCAGGTGGAAATTCCACAATCCTCCCAATCATCCACAGATGTCTGGGCAAACCTGATCTGAAGCTGTAGGAAAGGACGCAAGAAGGTATTCCCCTTAACTATAAGAACAAAGTGATGAGGGATACAGAATGAAAACTAAACCTACAAAAGCTTGATTTTTCAAAACTGTGAAAATAAATACATTTTGATTTATTAAGAGCTGGTGTCAACGCAGATCAAAATACATACCCATCCAGAAGAGAAGCAGCTATTCAAGCTGCCCCCTTTTATCTTCTGCTCTGGATTTCCCCAAATACATGGATACATTGTCAACCATTTTAAAATTGTTTTAATAATCCATTTCCCTTCAGTACAATTAGTTGTGGTGGTGACCATCATCCTCCTCAAAGCAAAAAGAGAGAAGGAAGAGAAATATGCACAAAGGAGTCTGGCCACTTCTCCATGTTGATTTTGCATTGTTTAGATCTAGGGAAGATATTTGAAAATGAAAAAGAAAAGAAAAATATATTTTTCTTTCTAATAAATAAAAATAATTTTAAACAATAGAGGCTATACATGACTATTTTAGTATGTTCATTTATAAATGAAATCGTTTTCTTTTCCAAAATACATGGAAGCAATATTCAAGGCAGACAAAGAGAGCAATCCTGTCTACTTTATTTTCTTGCAGTTCTTGCTTATTCTAATGTTCCCACCAGTGATTCAACATGTAAGAGGAAGAAAAAGTCACATCACCATTTGTGAAGTTTGTCAGGCTTTAAAAAAATAGTTCTGGTCTCCTGGGAGTCAACATTCATCTTCAACTTCTCTGATTGGAGGAATCAAGCTGCTTGTGGATTTGTATTGGTTGATCTGGTTAACCATGTGGGTACTCATGGGCTTGATTTGAATGTTTCTGGGATAGGCATTATCCGGTTCATCTGTAAACCATTTCTTTTCTGCTAAAGGGCAAAATGGATAGAGAACAAGAAGGAGAAATGAGAAGCTTAATTAGTCATAGGATAAAGCTTTTGGAAAGTTCATTGAAAAAAATTCAAAAAGGTAATCGATAGAAGTCGACAGTGAGTAATTGCTAAGAGATAGTGCAGTGGAGGGAGGACCCAGAACCTGAAGCACACCTCTGCTCCCTGTAGCAAGGAGGGACAAAATGTGCCGTGGAGACTTAGAGGTACCAGGGCCAGAGGTGAACCTCAGAGAATAAGGAAGGATTGGAAGATGAACTCTGGCAATGTTCTCTGGAGTTATTTGAGTGGTCTGAAAGATTTTAGTGGTGAGGAGACTCTGCATATCCCAGGTATTGGGGACAGGCCTTGTGTCTGAGGAAAAATTTGAGTTGGAGTACAGGGATAACATCTCTGCATCAGGTCAAGCAGTCTAGAATCTTCTGCACCGCCTTTTTTCCCCTGCCTTGACTTGGCTTTGTTTATAACAATCAGGTTTAAACGCATATATCAACTCTTGTGCAGCCAGTTTAGGAAGCTTAAAGGAAACTCACAGACTCTGCTAGACAATGGGAATGAAAACCAGAATAGCAAGCAGTGTTTTAGAAGAAGGCTTTAAGATGACTTTTATTTCAAGAAAGAGAACTCTATGCTGGTATAAAGTTATGATAAGAGATTCAAGGGGCAACATGCAAGCTGTTAATAAAGGAGCTCAATGCTGGCTTGTCATTTCATTCTCACCCTAGATATAAGAAATGGCTGAGGAGAACTGCAGGCTACTGCAGGCTTAGGTAGTAGAGAGGTTTAGAAACTAACTATCTCCACTCAGCAATACAGAGCTATTTAGGACTTATTCCTGTCTCTTCCTGGGATTGAAATTTCCCAGGAAATTGGCCATGTGCATAGATAGGAAGGGACTGAGCACACAGGACCTCCTAGCTCTGGAAGCATACCTTTAATCAAAGGGCTCATGAAACATCAAGAAAAGAAGAACAGTTTTTAAGCACAATCAGAGAGTTAATGATCACTCCAGTTTCCTTTACTGCCTGCTAAGAATTCACAACTGCCTTGTAGGTGGTTCTAGGCTGATATGTTAAAGATCACTCACCTGGCTGGCGTGTGTGTGTGTGTGTGTGTAAGGGATTAGATCATGACCATTCTGCTTGTTTCTCTCGGGTTCATACTGTTACTGTTTCCTGTGCCCTCAATGTTGCTGTTGATGGTTGGCTGGTCTCTGGGATGTGGATGTTCCTGGGGAAAAGCCTCACCACCTTTTGTTCCACAGCTGAGTTTAGCCCTCAGGACACTTGCTACCACTTGCCTGGTTCTCTCTCACACTCCCTTCCTGCTCTAGCTCTCTCACCTATTATAATTAAGTTCACTTTGATTTGAACAGATTGGACGATAGGAATTCATAATGCTACATCCTCACAGTGAAGCTAACTGATTAAGTGCTTTAAATTATTCCCCCTGACAGAATGATAAAGTTACAATCTGTTCTGAGATGATCTACAGCTTGCCAGACTCCTACAGCTTCTTTCTACATTCATTTATCTTTTTGTCAAGCAGAGGGTTTTTTTTCTCCCCCTAAGCTTCAATTCCATAGATCTTTTAAAGTCATCAGCACATCTGAATTATTAATGAGGCTTTAGAGGCAAGACTCCTGATGGGCTGGTTAAAAAAGGTTGTATAGAAATCTGGGTCTGTGTACACATCAAAATAATTTCAGCTCCATTTAAAAAACCATTTAGTTCAAGTGTGACATAGATGAACCATTATGCATTTGTGGAAACCAATTTTTTGTGATCTACGATTAAACTAACCTTTCAGAGAAGAGTAAAGTGTGATGGTTATCATGTTTTAAAAGCATTGCCAAGCCTCTGGAACAATTTCAAACTACGATTTCTTCCAAACGGTATATGTGTAAAGATGAGGTTCGGAGCGAAGCCTGATGTTTGTGCTCTGTGTGCCGGAGTTGCCCTTGGCTTTGGTTGTTCTGTTGTGTAGAATGAATTTGCAGAGGGATTTAAAGCTAGGTTAGACATGCCGGCTTGGAAAAAGTAACTCTGCTGATGGAAAAGGAGGAAGTCTTTGTGGTAAAAGCTCCAACAGCTGCAATTGGTTTAAAATTTCTTCATGATTGTTTCAGAGAATAATTGTTCAGAATTTAGTTTGGTTCATTGATCTTTTCCCACAGAGAATATCAACTTCTATGAAAAAGAGTATTATTCCCCTATTGAAGCTTCTCTCTTTCCCTTCCAATTTCTTGCCTGAAATGCAAATCAAATCTAATCTAAGCAGAGTAGCCCCTGTGTTTCATCCATATAGCTTTGGCAAAAAGAAGGGGTTGTAGGAAACCACTTCCCAGTGAAGAAGGGAGATTGTCATCATGTCTGAGAATGCAGATCTGTCACTCTAAAACCTAAAACATGAATGTGTGAATTTGGTGGAGACTTGGTTAGCCTTCAACATGCTGAATCTCCAAAGCATTGTTGAAATGGAAATATCGGCATGCTCTAGATGTTTTACTGAAAAGGGCAATGGCCAAGGTATTTTATGAAGCACCCTCCAGAGTTTCAGAGGAGCACACATTTAATGGCTGCCATCCGTTTGGCTCCCATGCAGGACCCTTCAAGTTTGAGAGTCACCATTTGGCTGACTCTTATCTTTCAGAGAAGAACCTGTGCCAATTAGTGGCTACAAAACTGGCCACCAGGAAGAAGTTCCTGAGCAGGAATTCAAATCCATGTTGAAATCTAAGGTGCCAAGGTGAAATCTAAAACCCTTGAATTTAGTTCTACTCTCTACTTTGTTCCACAAGACAGGAAGGTTTCTGGGAATTTCATTTTCCGTCCTAAAATGTCCCTGTGGACACAGGAAAATAGCCCCGTTTCTTTCCTAACCTTCGAGGAGATGCAAGTATGATGTCATCACTCTTGGTTCAATGTAGGGCCTGCCTGCCTGTCAGGAGTTTTTGTCACAAAATAGTTAATGGAGTGTGAAGGGAGCAACATGTCCTGGTCTGTGGCAACTGATGTAGTAGAACAAAATTTTTTTTAAAATGGTTCAAAAATAAACTGGCATTGATTCATGGAGAAGTCACTTCTCCAGATCAGCTATGCTGTGAGCTATCCACCATGAATCCCTCATAAAGAGGTGGCTTGGGAAATGGTGACAGGGGGCTGGGAGTAGGATACAGTCAATCAGGCCTGGCTTGCTCACATACTAACTGCATGGGGCTGAGCAAGTAATACTGCATAATTTATCTTAGCATCCTTTCTCTTGTGTCGCATAGGACTGAGGACACAACCTTCCTAGGATTGTTGTTTCAATCAGAGTTGGATCTGTGGACACAAAGCACTTACTATAGTTTTAGCTACAGGGCAAGAAAATGTAAGTTAGTCACTAAGATCATTAAGATTATTAATAATGTTAGGAGCATCACATCATCATGGCTAACTCTATAAACTGTAGTGTGTCTTGATTTCCACATCTGTCCAATGGAGATTCTGTCAGATCCTGTATGATGATGACAGAATTGAGTGTGATCATGAATGTAATTTACCTAGAAGAATGACTGGACTCCTGCAGGAAGTAAGGTCATAACTTTTAGCATAAGGTTAGAATTGACTCGAATACTAAAGGTACTGGAGGATGTCACCAGGATGGGTGGGACTCTTGGGATGTGATTGCCAATGGAGTTCTTCAACAGAGGAGCCAGGACTTGGAGGGGTGGAAGCCTGGCCTGAAGAATGGGAATTGTGGCTGTAGAGGCAACATGGGAAAATACGGTGGGTAGTTTCCCTCATTTGGGAAGTGAAGGAAAAGGTGGGGTGATAGTGTTAAGTTGGAGAGCTCAGGAATGTGGTTGTTCTGGGGCACCTCTCTATCTCTCACTGTGGTCCATCTATGCCTCTCATGGCCAGTGTCATCCCTGAGATCATAGAGTTAGAGTTAGCAGAGTTAGCAATTCCTGCAGCCGCATGGCTCTAGGTCAGCAGGGTCCCCTAAGGAGTGCTAAGTTAAGGAAGGGCTGAGCTATGTGGCATATGACAGGCAGAGAAAGAGACAGGTGGCACTGGACAGCCAGCACTCACTAGCTCTGTGGGAATTAGCTTTCACATAACTACTCCCCAGAGAAGACTGCAAAAAAGGGGAGACAATGACACGGCAAAGGCATTCACAACAATCAGCCCTGTTCTCCACAAGCCACAAGCCAAGGATTAGAGAACGAAGGCACGGAAGGAAAGGATCTGTTTGGATAGAGGATGGGTCAGCAAGTAGGGGTTAACAAGGAGCTCCAATCTTCACAGGCAATGCCGAACCCTTCCCAGATGAACAATGTGGTTCCCTCCTTCTGCTCACCAAACCTTGATGACTACTACTGCCTCCTTTTCTTTCCTTGGGCAGAGAATATGGCTATTCCATACACGTAAAAATGGTTTATGCCAGAACCAGAGGGGTTTTGGTGAATCTCATTTTCTCTGCAGTTTCTTTACTCTGACTCTGTGTCTCTTTTGACTAATTTCCTGAGCATACGGCCTCTCTCCACCCTCCTCTGTAGTCCTTTGACCAACTGAAGCCCTAAGGACAGATTCTTCACTCTTTTCCTCTCCATGGTTGCAACGGAAATGCATTGCCACAGTCCACCAATTTAACAGCAGGTGTTTATTCTTTATCATATCAGGACAAAGTAAAGGTGGGCTGAAAGAAACTGATGGAGAAATTGATTTTTACCCTGTCTTGACTTCTCCAGTCCCTGAAGTTTCTCCTTTAAGGAGCCTGTTGCCATAGGAACCTGGTAGGTTGATTTAATTGTCTCTATTGGGATACAGACACCTTTAGGCTTTTCCCATGCTGAAGAAGAATCAGTCAAAAATCCTTTTTTTAAATTTCTGGTCATCTTGGATCTTGACAATGCTGCCAGCAGGTATAGTCAGTCTCTCTCTTCTCTGAGATTACAGGACCATCCCCTAGGTTGGAAGCTACACCCAGCTCCAGAATCTGATATACCATTAGTGTGATTTCTGTGGAGCTCTTCCAAGCATTCATTGATTTTTTTTCCAAGATAAGCCAAGGGCACAAGGATAATTATTTTTTGAAAGTTAAAGGGATAAAAGTGTTCATGATCCAACTATTTTCAGATATTTACATAGCACCTATTCTAAGGTTCTGGGTCATTACTCTCAATGAAACTAGAAACCTCATTGTGGCAGGAATTAGGTAAGCATAAGGATCTGTTTGGGTGGGCTTTGGAAAAGACCCCCGAAGTAATTGTTAGGGACACTGATGCCTCTATGATCATCAGATGATTGAGGCTGAGTAGTTGGAGCAAACTCGACTGACTGGCTTACAAACTGTCTCTGTTCTACAATCCAGATTTGTGGATTTCTATCTGTAGTTTATATTACCTGCAGGTAGGCACTTTCTCCTCAAAGAATTCTCTCACCTTCTCCCTTGGCCTGTTTTTTGTTTCTGTTTTCAGAGAAGAGGGAGTAGGGAAGAGACATAATATAAGACCCTTGTTATACCTCCTTCCTAAATGAGCTGATGTTCCCCTAAAGGAGAAAGGGGAATCTTGGAATCAAAACGGGAAGCAATGGGGAAGAATCTTCAGTCTACTAAGGCAAATACAATATAGAAACATCAGCTAGTAAAGCACAAGTAATCATGACAGCTTTCCCATCATCAAGCACATCATTACCCACCTATGATCCAGTCTCAGTTATCTGCTAGTGTGCCCAAAATCCCGGAAAGATGCCCAAATTTCATCTCATGTCATAGTCTGTTCCCATTCCAGTCCCATGACAAACGCAATCATCTCATTAGATTTGCTAACAAGATTGTACAGAAAACTTTGGATTGACTTCTAGCTGTCCAATCTCTGCTGGGGATTTAACCAATAGCCAAAGATAGGTGACAGGGGCCATTTGGGTCATATCAAAACTGAGTCATCAGCCCCCTGGCAACTGGACATGGGTCTCAAGTGGATCCATGCAGCTGAACAGTGTTAACTTTATATCACACTATTTGAACAAAAAGGTGATTAGTGTTGTGCCATCAATAGCCCACCTGGTTTAAATGACAGGAGGATACAGTAATTACAGAGAAGCAGGATTGGGATAGCCGCCAAGCTTTTCCTGAAAAGTTTAGCATCAACTAGCAACATTTTTTGATTTGGTAGGTCTTGCCAAGATAAAACACAGAGATGTGAACAGACCAATGGGGGCTGGGTTAGGGTGGTGGTAATGGGAGGGGAAGTGGAGGAAGCTGGGTTTCTCAATGGAAAAATGCTTTTGGACTTGGAGCAAGGTACCAAGGTGGGCAGGGAGGCCACGTGCAGATTTGAAGGCAAGCCAGATGGAAAGAAAGTCCCCCCCACCCCAATTCCCCAACCACACCCCCAACCCAAGAACATCAAAACAAACTCTAAGGCCATAGCAGCAGCACAGCCTCATGGCGTTGAGCAATTGAAAAAGTGAAGGAAGAAAGAAGAAGGAAGGGGGGAAAAGAGAGGGAAACGGGAAGAGGGGCGGAGAAAAAGCAAAACAAAATAACTAAAACCACAAACAGAACAATATAAATTAAAAAAATAAACCAATAACAGAATAAAATTGGTAACTCCTTTTTTTTAATTTCACAAAAGTTTTCACAAGGACAACGTTATAGAAGAAAACCCCCAGCAGTGGCTAGGTCATGCAAAACCATTAATTGTCATACCTTGGCCCATTCTATTCATCCTTGTCGCACTTTAGAGAGAGAAGTAAGCTATGTGAGTTTTACAATGCTTTGAAACTGTCATATTTCCTGTTGAGCACTTTAACTGGCAGATTCTTAGCGTTATAAATGTTTGGAGGGCAGAACTTTTTTAACCTCCTTTGCAAAGAATGCAGGAAGAGCTCCTTATGATCCAAAACTAGGGATATTATATATAGTTATATATATAGTTATAGTTATATATATATATAGTTATATATAGAGAGAGATAGATACTTATACATCATATATAAATCAAAATATATCGGGACAAAAATAATTTGAGAAAAAGTCTTCCACTCATAGGGCTTTTAAATATACATGTATACAATAGGCTCCACCCCATCTCTGGTTTGAAAACTGTGTTGTCTCTGTCTTTGGTGTGAGTGTGTGGGGAGAGGTGGTTCTGACTCAGCTACACCATTTTTTTTTGTCAGTAAAAGTGCTTGTCAATTCACACAGCAAGCAAATCTCCAAAACTATCATGCTGGAGGGGACAAGGGGATCCAAAAATCTAAACCCAAAACATTCACCATAAAAACACCTTTTTAGAGATGGTACAGCTATGGCATTGTTTCCCTTTCTCCTTTCTACCCCTATTCTACTTTATGGATTTTTTTAAAAAAATTAAACATCTCAAATAGGTTTAAACTAGCATAGGGCTAGTCTATCCATACAAGAATTTGGTTATGTTAGGAATTGGCCAATTTTTTGAGAACTGTTGCTTTATCTAAAACATGATTTTGCAGGCATAAAATATGTGACAACTGTATGTTGAAAAATAGAATGTTTTTTTTCTAATTTCCTCCCATGCATACTGTTAGAAAAAAAACAAAGGAAAGCAAACAGAAAAGAAATATATACTAATGTGTTTGGCTCACTGCTGCATCTTCCTCATCCCTCGTTTCATAACGATGAGGAGCAATTCTGTATCACTATAACTCACCTGCCTGTGTGAATTGGCTATGTTTAAGAAATGGAGGATGAGCTGGGCACTGGTGGCTCACACTTGTGAATCCTAGCTACTCAGTGGGCTGGGATCTGAGTATCCCAGTTCAAGGAAAGCCTGGGCAGGAAAGTCTATGAAGCTCATATCCACTTAACCATCAAAAAGATAGAAGTAGAAATGTGGCTCAAGTGGCAGAGTGCCAGCCTGGAGCAAAAAAGCTAATAGACAGTGCCCAGGCCCTGAGTTCAAACCCTAGTACCTGCACCAAAAAAGAAGGAAAGAAAGAAAGAAAGAAAGAAAGAAAGAAAGAAAGAAAGAAAGAAAGAAAGAAAGAAAGGAAGGAAGGAAGGAAGGAAGGAAGGAAGGAAGAAGGAGGAAGGGAGGGAGGGAGGGAAGGTAGGAAAGAGAGAGAGAGGAAGAAAGAAAGAAAGGAAGAAAGAAAGAAAGGAAGGAAGGAAGAAAGAAAGAAAGGAAGGAAGGAAGGAGGGAGGGAGGGAAGGAAGGAAGGAAGGAAAGAGAGAGAGAGAAAGGAAGGAAGGAAGGAAGAAAGAAAGAAAGAAAAAAGAAAGAAAGAAAGAAAACTTTTCCCACCATTTTTCTGCATTGGGACAAAGCGTCATGCAGCTGTGCCAAAAATTGAAGGTGGTCACCAGCTTTTGTTTTCTCAGTCATCTATGGCTTACTCCTCCAATATCCTAGCTTATTTAACATGTTGCTCCTACAGAAACATTTCTATTTCTGGGTTTGTCTTCCTCTCATTCTGCTATCACCCCAGCCCAGCTTCTACCTGGCAATGGGACCCTTGCTAATCAAACAAAGGGGAGTAAAAAAGTCCCCTGAGAACTCATGGAAAAATACTTGCTCTTTCCTGAGCATTATTTATTCTGTACATAAGGTAAGTAATTCACCTTTTAAAAGATGTGAAAGTCCCAGGAAGGCAGTTTTTAATGGTTTACATCTGATATTTATGATACATATGGCTTTTCATCCCAAATGTCAAAAGTAAAGAAAAAAAATAGCTATTCATATGGCAGCCTAAGGAGACAGGAAACAATTGAATATGCAATCAAACCTCTTCTCCCTTAAATGACTAGGATTGGATACACCCTCCTCTGTATTAAGGTTAGAAATGTTTGTATAAACTCCCAAAGGAAGCTAGCTCTGGGACAAAAGGCCTTACTGAGTAACTGAAAGAAAAAAATCTTTGATGCTGTCTTGCAACAAGCAGGTATTTAATAATTATCCTCACAAAGTGTGAAAGCTTTTCAAATGCTTTGTGATACGTCAGCCCAGAGAGTGGAAAATGATCAATACATTTTCATTGCTTTTTGGTGTCTTGTTTCAAATAAATGTGTGCTAACTAATGGTGTACATATTTAGAGAGACAGAGAGAAGGAGAGACAGAGAAAGAGAGAGAGAGAGAGAGAGAGGAAAACAAACAAAATAAAAAACCCAAAGCACCCCGATAATCCTGATGAATCAGAATCAACTTTTCTTGCACATTAAATACACCTGGATTTACCTAACATTGATCATGAGTGTTCTTTTCTAATCTGTGAACTCATTCTTGAAGTGAGCTATTTATGTCTGGAGCATGCCTTTGGGTTATATTTCTCCTAGAATCATAAATAACTTTTTGGTCCGTCTGCTTATTTGTTGTTGTGCTCAAGGGTTTTATGGTGGTGAAATAAAAATGACAACCACATGCACACTATCATACATATGCAAATATGTGTAAAAAAATAAAAGAGGGGAGGACTACAGGGAAAACAGGGAAAGTTACTTTGTTGGAAACACCAACTGGAAAAATGAGTAGCGGATACAGTTTCACACACGGTGGCGGTGGATGCACAAATCAAAGCCGTTCTTCCTGCACGTACTTCTGTTTGTCCCGAGATTCTCTGGACTTGGGCCGGTTCTGCCGGTTCGCTGTGGATGGGATAGAATGGACAGAGGAGCTCTTCTTGCTGGAGGACTGTGAAGACTGAGAGGAATGGGACAGGCTGGCCCGGGACTGGCCGGCGTTGTGGTCAAACTGCATCAGGCAGAAGATCAGATCCGTCGGCACAAGCTCAAACTCGTAGGGGGGGTTGGTGATGACATACCTAGGCAGAGAAAGGAGAGATGTCACAGTCTCAGGTGACTGGGTTAGAGAACTCAACTCTACTTGAAGTGGAAAAAGGAACCCGGTTGTTGAAATGGAGCAGAGGATTTAGAAGATGAACTGGTCTAACGCCCTCCACTTCTATTTCCAGTTCTATGAAATTTTCTACTCTGTATCTCTACCAAAGCAGCCAGCCACGAGGACAGGCAGAAGTGCTGGCTAACACTAGGCAAAACCACAGAAATCATCATGTTTTCTTGATACCAGCAAATTTCCATGTGTGCTCATAGAGCGACAGATAAGCACCATCCAAGGGCCTCTGGAAAATGCCCATTCTACTGGGGATTGAACTCAAGGCCTTCCACTTTCTAGGCAAGCCCTCTGCCACTTGAGTCACACTCTTCTCCCCCAGTTCTTCTGCTTTCAGGGTTCTATTAGGGTTTCTTTCCACACCTATTCTAGGCTAGCCATAGACCCTGACATTTCCACCTCCTCCTCCTCCTAAATAACTTAGATTACAGGCATGCACCAACATGCTAGGCCCAGAACTTTGTTCTTAATAAGGGCAAGGGCAGGTAGTTCTCATGGTTGCTAGGCTGTGGAAGCTCATTGGTCTGTGGCAATTGTTATCTGGCTAGATGCTGCCATTCCTGGGTAGAGATATATAAAATGGTGTGTATTTATAAATACATACGTGTGTATGTGTTTCTTACACACTAGTTATAACAAAATAATGAATTCTCTTTTGCTTTTTGGTTGGTCATGGGGTTTAAACTCAGGGCCTGAGTGCTGTCCCTGAGCTTTTTTGCCCAAGGCTAGTAGTCTACCACTTGAGCTATACCACCATTTCTGGTTTTTGGAGGTTAATTGGGGATCCGAGTTTATGGCCTTTCATGCCTGTTTTTTTTTTTTCCTGAGATCCTCAGAACTCAGCCTCCCGAGGAGCTGGCTCAAAATAATGAGTATTTTTCAAAAGTTCCCAGGGTGATTCTGATATGCAGAGCTGAGAAAGACTCACCTGTGTACCATTGCTTCCTGGAGTGTTATGAAAATTTATTGCTTTGGGTAATTCTGGAGCTCTGCCTGCTATAAATTTATTTTAACACATATTAGCCAAACATAACTAGCATGCCTAAGCTGTTACTTTACTACTTACGTTATTAATACACATAATTTTCTTGAAACCATGCACATAAAACTAAAAGAATCAGTGAAAATATATATGAAGTGAAATATAGGAGTCCAAGATAGAACACACTTATCTTAAGAAGTTTCAGATAAATCTCTATCTTAAATACTAGCAATATGCAATATCATATTGTCACTAGGTGCCAGTGGAGGTGACCCCGGTCACTGAAGTTGCAGGTCTTGGCTTTTGTAATAGGGTGATGAAACTATTTTACAAAACTTGAATTCTTCCCACAGTGTCTACACCTCCTCTGTTTGTTAGGTTCCAAGATCAGCGTCAAGTTTAATGTGAGCAGAGTGATTTGCATGTTGTGAACATGAACTCATATGTACGAGCTCCTCGCCTCTAGGGGAGAAGGTGTCAGTCTCTGTGTCTGGGTGGCACCCGCTGCAGAGAGTGCAAAGATACTCACCTTTTTGTACACTGGCTGGGGGTGCTGAGGTGGGCATCTCTCAGCCGGTAAATTCCAAAACAAAGCATGTTATATGTTTTCAGAGCTTTACAGAACAGATCACCATAACAACCACCATCCTGGGAGATAACAAAAGAACAGAGAGAAACATCATTTTTATTTGCCTGCAAGTCGAGGTCCAGGGGGACGAGAGGCTTTTCATAAAAGCTTGTTTTGTTGTCTTGTGAATTGGAGGGTCTGTGCCTCTGGGTTGTGGCTGAAGAAATCCACATGGTTAACAGCCTACATCCAGTGGAGCTGATCTGAGGGATCTGACAATGAGAGGTTTCCTCTAGGGTCCCTGCAGCTTTCCACCTACGGCAATGAGAGCTCTAAGTGCTGTTCACTTACTTGAAGTGAGGGTGTCACACCTAAAGGTCTCAGATGTATGTCAGCTGAGGAGAAGAAACAAGCTCTGCACCGCAGTGATTATGTGTTTGCCCCAGCTCAGCTGTGTCCACTACAGCCGGTCATGTTGTCAAAACCGCCCAAGTGATAATGAAAATCACTGCAAGGAGAGAAGACCCCACCGGTTCCTAGGGAGACAGACTCTTCCGGGTAAGGGCTGTGTGAAAAGCACAATTTGCAGACCTCAGAGATGGCAAGGGGGGAAGGTAAGCATTTCCTCAGGAGCTAAGGGTCTGCAGATAGAAAAACTGGAATTCACAGTTCTGATCAGTTCACAACCACTTCCCCAGAGTCTGAGACCTGACTCAGAAGGTGAAAGCAAACGCAGCCACTTGGAGATGCAATATCACTTAGCTTCGCGCAGCCCTATCATAGGAAGGGACTTGCAGAATAACTTCTCTGAATCCTTCCCATCAGTGGGAGTTCCATAAGGGTGTCATATTACAAAATATAGATAGGCCATATATTGCCGTGACAAAGTATTTTTCCCTGTTCCATTCTATAAGTAAATGCATAATAGTTATAGTCACCAAGTTAGGAGAAGGATGGGTGAGAACGTTAAAAGGGGTAACACTGATCAAAATATAGTGTATTCATAAACTGCTTCGTTAAATGACAACTCCTTTGTACAAGTACTTGAAGATACTAATAATAAAGTCACCAATTGTGAAAATCATCTTTCCAGAAAAGTTCAGTCTAAACAAGGTGGCACATGTCTATCATTCTAGCTACTTAGGAGGCTGAGACTGAGTTCACAGTCATCCTTGGGCAACAAGTTCACAAGACCCCCATCTCAAAATTAGTTGGGCATGGTGATATGCACTTGTCAGCCTAATTATATGGAAGGTTAGGATAGGGAGGATAGCAGTTCTAAGCCAGCCCAGCCAAACATGTTTGTGAGGCTCTCTTATTTCAACAGAAAAAAATCAAGTGTGATGGGGTACACTTATCATCCCAGCTATGATGGGCAGTATAAACAGGAAAATCACAGTCCAGGCTGTGTGAAAAATAAGTTCATTCAAAAATAACCAGAGAAAGCTGGGCACCAGTGGCTCATACCTGAAACCCTAGGTACTCAGGAAACTGAGATCTGAAGATCACCGTTCAAACACAGCCTGGACAGAAAAGTCTATGGCATTCTTAACTCAAATCAACCACCAAAAAGCAGAAAGTGGACATGTGGTTCAAGTGGTTGAGTGCTAGACTTGAGGAAAAAAAGCTCAAGGACAGAACGCAGGCTCTGAGTTCAAGCCCTATGATTGGCAGAATAAATAAATAACCCAACCACAGAGTGGGCAGAGTCATGACTTAAACAGTAGAGTACCTGCCCTGCAAGTACAAAGCCCTGAGTTCAAATCCCGAAACTGAGAGGGGACGGGAATCTTAGTCTAATGCAGGACCCAGCCTACAATTAATCTGAAATAAGTGAAAGTAGGCATTAATGTGTCTTGGCACATGGAGAGGAATCTTTCTACTCTTGAACTTGGTGTACAACGCTGTGTAACATATTTTGGGGGTTGCTGAGTGTCATGGCTCCATCCATTGGGTACATCTTTCGGGCACCGAAAGGAAGGTGTGGGCCACCTCTGTCACAGGAAGGGCAAGGGGAGGGAGAACCCGAGTCTAGCCTCAAAAACAGTAAGACCTAGGTTTTGAATAAGAAGCATCTGAGGGATCCAACGAAGACCTGCCAGGGGTGCTGGGTGCTCACATCTGCCCTTAGTGCTCTGGAAGCCATCCGTGTCTTGGTTGTAAAGATGAAGACACTAAGAATCCTGGAGTTTGGGGCTGAGCATCCCTAAGTGCTACTAAAGTAGAGTTGGAACTGAGCAGCCCCGGCTATGCCAGGACCCTGTGGAAAGATTTCCCATCCTTAGCTCCCTATGCAGCCCAGGGAAGTAGAAGGCTGAGGAGAACAGCAAGTTCGCAGTTCCAAGGCAGGGGCGCCTTGGTAGCACATCATAGCTCTCATTTCTTTACTTGTTTCCAGAGGGAGAAAGACAGATCGTCTGGCTGGTTTGCGGCATGGCCTTCATCCGGATCAATGGAGTCAAGCAGCCTCTAGACAGAGCACTCACCCCCAAGTCTGCAAAGGGTCCGTCCAGCAGTGCTAACTGGGCCACACGACAGCGGTCCCTATTGGCCAGCGTCTGGGGGGTGCTGTAGCCCCCTCGAAGTGCATTCTCTTCAGCAATGAGAGCCTCGAGTTCTGGGGTAGCTCCTCCGGTCACCAGGGTCCGTATCAGGGTGAGGATATTGTCGTTGAAGTACGTCTGTGGAAAGATGGAGGAGGGGGACATCCTTCAGCAACTCATCCTAAAGTCATGACAGCGACATCCAAATTACAAGTTTTCTTAGTATCTCCCATGTAAAGTTCTGGCCTGTCTCTTCAAATAATTTTATGTGGGAAGTGAAGAGACAGCAGCCTCCAATTATTCCATTCTTTTCTCTTTTGCTTGATTCCACCACAAGAGCCTGACTTAAAAAAAAAAAACTCAAGGATTTTTATTTAAAGGGCTAAAGTCTGAAATAAGTGGTGTTTACCATTGCTGGTATTGGTAGGGACGCAAACCCTGCCTTGTCTCTTTGCAAGTCTCTTTGCCAACTCTAGGACTTGTGACGCATGTAATAAGATAGCCAGCCTAGGCTGCTACTCCAGAAAAGGCTGTCCTTGAAGATCTGTCACCCATGGGTTAGGAAGCTACCCCAAAATGGTACCACGTCTCTCCGTGCAGGAATGAGATACCAAGAGAATCGTTAATGCTACATATGCAACAATTTATCATATGCTTTGTTAACAGTCTAAGCAAAAAGTCTCCATCAATAAATAAGCCAGATAAATTTATGACACACTAAGTGTCCCGCTGTGCAGAGTTTGGCTTCTGTTTGTTAAACTAACCTCAGTCGTCTGAGGAAAATAGAGCTTATTAAAGAATTTTCCTTCTAAGTGTACATTTGTCTCACATCTGAAACCTAACAGGTCTGTTGGGAAGAAAACAATGAGAGCTTTAAAAAATTAATAGGATGTCAAATGAAAGAGCTTAAAAAGACATTTGTCACCCAGCCTAATTTGAGGGAAATCTCTGTTCAAGGTGTTGCATTCCATTTTCCTGTGTAAGGAGAAATCAAGTGGGTTAGTAAGTAAAATCTTACTTGGCTCTGGCATTCGGTAATTGATGACCTCTGGGAGGAAGGTAGGACAGACAGGTGCATTATAATTCAGCAGCTCTTAGGCTACCTGGCAAATGTAGGGGGAAGAAACCTAGTAAGGTTGGCCCTCACCCTTCTTTGCTATCCTTTTTCAAGACAAAGGATAACATGGAGGCACAAAAGTGATGCCTAAGTGTTCTGGGCTTCATTTTTTTCTCAGTAAATAAAAAAAAAACACATGGTCATTAAGGTCAAGGTTATAAGGCCAAGAGTCCCATGAGGACTTGCAAGAAGATAGTGTTACTAGTGAGTTTGTATTTCACATTCCTCAGGAAAACACTCACCCAAATGAATCAAATGCCAATGGTAAAGTACATGGGGGAGACTTCACAGCCTGGCAGGCCTTGAGGAGAATTGATGCCCAGATTGGAGCTGGGATAAGTGGGAGACAAGAGGAACAAAAGAGAAGTTGTGTCTGTCTGAGGGGATGTGGATTTGGGCTGCTGGCAGAATGCTGCCTCCTCCTCTCAGAAGCTGTGTGGCCTTGGAAAGTTATTTTATACTTTTATGCCTCAATGTCATGATTTAGAGAAATAGGTGGGGGTGGGGAATGGGGACTGGATGACTCAACCTGCTTGAAGCACTGAGAAAAGTACCTGTACCCTGATACATACTTCTGGCCTAATATCAGAGACCCAGGGCCTTTGCTGTGATGACAGTCTACTTCCTCTCCAGCCTTCCCTTGATTGGTCAATCTTTCGTGTTTGTGTTTTGGTTTCAGGACTTGGAAGACAGAGACCATGTTGTTTTGTACTTTAACCTGTACTTCTCAGTGTGGATCCACTCCCAGGTGCATTCATTCCAGACCCAGGAACTTCACAGGAAAACCTCTCTAGGTGGAGTTTGAATGGGGTGTAGAATCTCATTCTGAATGAAGTAGCAGTGGAAGAGACTAACAGAATGATATTCTACAGCACCTGTACAGACATCTCCCAAATGTCCAGGGAGAAGTTATCTTCCCAACAGTCAGATAATGCATCTTTACAAGCAGGATGCTATTTCTCAGCACTGCCTAGCCCATGAAATAAGTAAGAACAGGTCATGGAACTCTGACAAAGGCCTTTGCGTTGCAATTAACATCCTTCATTGAGATCGAGGGGAGAATTCTAACTGTAGGTAAGGTGGATGGATGGCAGAGAAGTCATAAACTATAAACTGACCACACCTAGATAAAAATTAGAGAAAGCAAAAGGGCACACCAGAGCAGGGAAGGGGGAGAGAGAGCGAGTGAGAGAGAAACAGTGTTCAAGATATAAGGGAAACGTATCCTTTAGACTGTCTAAATAATTCTGAGAAGAAATCAAAGAAAAACATAGAAAGCATTTACATAGACATCAAAATAAAATTATAAAACATTTAGACTACATAGCAGCACAAAGTAAAAGATTAAATGATAATAAAGCTGACTTTACACATTGAATCAGTTTGCTTTTTTTTTGGAGTAAGAGCAGGAATTCCAGTGGACTGAAGAAACAGGTAACAGAATCCAGTTGCTTTTCATAATAAGCTTGAAACATATTGGGACAGGAGGCAACTTAATCATTTTCATACAGGGCATGGAAGAAAAACCCACAATTAACATGTCAGACTAAATGGCAAAAAGAATTGATGTTTTCCTTCAAGAACCAGAGGAAGACAAGGAGTTAACTCTCATATCACCTCTTCAACAATTTGCTAGAGATGCTATGGATCATATAAGATACAAAGAAGTAAAATTATCTATAGGTAGAGGATACAATATGATATTTTTAAAAAGTCCTAAGAGAGCTGCTCAGGAAATGGAGATAGGAAGGATGGTGGTTTGAGATCAGTAGGTCCTGTCTCAACAAATAGCTCAGCATCGTGGTCTCTGCATGCATGCCTGTCATCCCAACTATAGTGAGAATGTAAGTATATTTTAGTCCAGGCTGGTGCTGAACAAAAAGTGAGACCATGAGAGATAGAGAGACAGAGAGACAGAAAGACAGGGAGACAGAGACAGAGACACAGAGACACAGACACAGAGACAGAGACACAGAAAGAACATAAAATGGTTGAAAATATGACTCAAGTGGTAGAGCTCCTGCCTAGCAATTATGAAGTATCACAAAAAAGAAAGAAAGGAAGAAAGAAAGAAAGAAAAAGGAAGGAAGGAAGGAAGGAAGGAAGGAAGGAAGGAAAGAAGGAAGAAAGAAAGAAGGAAGGAAGGAAAGAAAGAAAGAAAGAAAGAAAGAAAGAAAGAAAGAAAGAAAGAAAGAAAGGGAGAGAAAGAAGTGGAGGGAGGAAGGAAGAGAGAAAGGAAGGTAGAAAAAGAAAGAAAAAAAGAAGTAATCCTAGCTACTTAGGAAGCTGAAATCTGAGGATCCTGGTTGGAAGCCAACCCTCAAAGGAAAGACCGAGACTCTTATCTCTAATTAACCACCATAAAACTGGAAGTGGTGGTGTGGCTCAAGGTGGTAGAGTGCTAGCCTTGAGCAAAAAGAACTCAGGGACAGTTGCTCAGACCTTAAGTTCTAACCTTGCATCTGACAAAAAAAGGGAAGAAATGAAGGAAGAAAGGAAGGAAGGAAGGAAGGAAGGAGGAAGAGAGAGAAAGAAAGGAAGGAAGAAAGAAAGAAAGAAAAGGAAAGAAGGAAAGAAAGAAAAAGGGAGAGAAAGGAATGAAAGAAAAAAGAAAGAAGCAATGGGAAAGTTATGTTACTTTTCTATGCCTCAGACTTGGATAAAAAACAAACCAATAGCTTATAGATAAGTGTTAAATGAGATCATTTGTGTAACTTCTCATATACAATTAATAACTGGTTGTTGGTAAAAAAGAGTGATTAACCAGCTGCATGCTCATGGCTCACACCTCTAATCCTAGCTACTCAGAAGAGTGAACAACCTTGGGTCAGCTTGGGCCCAAAAGTCAGCAACCCTTCATCTCCAAAATAAACAGCAAAAAACAGGTTGGAGGCATGGCTCAAATAGCACAGCATTAGCCAAACAAGTAAGCCAACCTTCTCATTTACTTAAATGAGAAGTCCTGAGTTCAAAACCCTATATTGCCAGAAATTTACAAAAAAAAATGCACTAGCAATGCATCTAACTTAGAAATGCCCTCTCTCCATAGCTCTGTGTTCTTAGGGCTAATACAAAGAACTTCATATTAATATGTGCCCTTGGCCTGTAAAGCTGAGTGATTCCTAGGTGTCATAAGGAAACAAGAGGCCATGAAATGCCGGCACAAGGAGCAAGGCATTGCCACAGGGAAACCTGAGGCCCCAGCGCCATCTAGCCCGCCCCACACCATCCTTCCCCCTTCCCCGTGTGAATCCACTGCCACCAGGCTTGAACATCTTCCTCTTCCTATTTTTTTTAAAGGATAATTACCGGAGCTTATGTTTCACAGTTAATGCTGTCAAGCCTTTTAAACTAATTGGTCTTTTATAGAAAATTTAACTGAAAATTAACACATCTTTTAATAACATTGCCTTAACTTTAATGGCACTCTGCCTTTCGTTTATAATTGCTCTAAAATTGTCATTTTCCATGTCATAGCTGCCATTTTTTATATTTGCTAGTTTTCCTGGTGTGGATTTTTATTTTTAGTATTTTTCTTTCGTGAGAGATGAGAACTCTTGGATATTTGCCCCTCTAATACAAGTCTGCCTGGCGTAGCGTGACAGTAGGGGGTATGTGCTTGGGTTCAGAAGAACATCCTGTAGTTTGCTAGTAGGACAGGACATGGGGCCATCCCTTTTGCCTTGGCCCAGCTCAGAGACTGTTGTCTTCCTGTCTGTCTGTCTGTCTGTCTCCTTATGAGCAGAAGAAACCAAGGTTGTGGAGCAGAGTATAAGGAGTGGTTCATGAAGCAATAATTTGCTTCTGTCTCTGCAATCATACGAAATGACTTGGCTGAGGTTGATAGATGGCGCTCTCCACAACATCCATAGTGTTCTCCATGACACCCCTCTTGGGTGTGGCTCTTCAGGAAAGCACAGACACTAAGCCATGTGGCACATTGTCCAGATGGTCTCCTCTCACAGTCTTCCTGACATAAATTCCTCTGTGTCTGACAAACAGGGCCAGCTCTATGATATTAGAGATGAGAGCAGGCAGCCCTTTATCGTACACACTCCTGACTCACTTCATGTCTCCCAAGTCTTGTCATGCTAAAATGTGTGTGTGTGTGTTCTTGTGCTTATTTGTGTGAAAGGGAGAAATCATTTATGCACACACACAGATGTGTATATGGACACATATACAAATAATAAGCCTACATTTTTGTTTTGTCATGCATTGTTCAGTGAATTTTATATACTTTGCTTTTACCTAGTAATGCCATAAAGGGTTCTTAATATTGTCTGTAGTTAATAGTTGGACCAACTGAAGTCCCAGGTAGTGCAAAATGTTTGTAAGGATGGCTGGTTATTAGAAATAAAGCCCAAAGTTCAAATGTTCAAATCTGTGGCTGAAGGTTACACTGTTTCAAGCACTTCACATCCTTCATGGGACATCACTCATTTGTTTCCTTACACACTAGCTATCTTTTGTTTAACTCAGTAGAGGAAATGTTTGACCATGAGAGCAGGGTCTGTATCTTTCTTCTTCATGCTAAATCCCCAACTTGGGAGAACACTGTCTAGCATTTACTAAGTGCCCAATAAGCTTACTGATGAACAATAGCAATAATAAATAATTTGCCACACTCTAAATGATCAATGGGATAGGTTACACTTATTACTCCATTTAAAAGATGAGAAAATGGATGCAGGGTGAATTTCAGGTTACATAGTCAGTTATCTAGGTCCAAATGGCTGCACTCTGGGTTCCATGTTTATCTTCTCTTTTTAGGGTGTTTGTGGTAGAACAAACTGGTTGTGGGGGAAAGGGAGGTGGTAGCCAAGTGCAAAAGATATCTGAATTACTCACAAGCTAGTTTCAGCCCTAAACATAAACATCCTCTTACACATCTTGGTGTGTGTATGAGTGTGTGTGTGAGAGACAGAGAGTGAGAGAGAGAAAAAGAGACAGACAGGCAGAGATATTGAAAGAGAGATTTCGAGACAGAGACAGACTATGAGATAGACAGAGACAGAGATAAGAGGGAGAGGGAAAGAGAGAAAGCAGCAAGCTGAGATCACTCTGAAAAATACACTTCTAAGTTGTGTTCTTCTTCTACCCATAAGGGTAATTATTCCCTTTCATTGTGGGTTTCTGCCTTTGATTTGTAGGATGAAGGCACAAGGCCATGTCTCAAACATCCCTATCTGTTCCAGGAATGGCTGTGATGAATAAAAACATTATTCTTTTAACAAATGAAGCAGTAAGCAGCAGGAGTTGAGTTATGAAGGACAATATTCAGGGAATGTTTAGACACATGATTAAGTGGCAATTTGGGGAGGAGTGCTCGAAAAAGAAGATCATTGACATCTACAGAGATTTGTGTGGCTGTTGCAATGGTGCCTGGGAGGGAATGCCTGAGATGGAAGCTTACCTCAGGCTCCTGCTGTTTGTATTCCTGCCTTTTAGCTCCTTCTAGTTACTGCCTGGGCACATGACGGATCTGCTTTTTCATAGATTAGATTTGGGTGAGAAAATCAAAGAAATCCCAGGCAATACTTTATCAAACGATGTAGATCTAAACTGGGTCTGTTGAACTAGAACCATTTTAGAACTCTACTCCAGAACTTGTTCATCTGAGACAAGGCAAACAAGCTCTGCACTGATTTGATAGGAATGTAGAGGATTGATTTGAAAAGTCATTGGTCAGTGGGCCAGTTGAGACATCTGTCTCCAACCTTTAAGGCTGGTGTATTCACATGATTGTCAAAAAAGATCAGACGTTGTAGTTGAAGTGCTGGACACAGTGCTAAGCCCTATGTAAATATGGCTGCTGTTAATTAATTCAACTCTGGATTCCAGATCCCCCTTATCACAGGCTAGAATTGTGAAAGAGTTTACTGCTCTCATACTCCTACTATTGTGTGCATCCTTTTTCTACCCACTCTTTCAAGCATTTTAATTTGGATTTCAAAAGGATGTTAGATATGGCTTTTATATATCATTATTTCAAACCAATTCTCTTTGATCTTTCATGTAAATTTCTGGAAACTAACTCCCTAGTTATGGTCTAGATATCTGTGAAACTCAAATCCAGATGTGTTACTTTTCTCCACACCAGGGCCTCTATATGACCCTCTTGCTATGTAGCAGCTCTTGGCTACTGAATCTACTGCATTCCTTAGAACTAAGGCTGACTTTATGACTGTTTGCATAGGGTTTGTGCTCAGCAGGGTCCCTACCTCGCTTTAATATTCTGCTGACGTCATTTTGAAACTCTTGATAATCTATGAAAATAACCCCACACTTTGCAAATGATGTAGCTAGTCCTACATTGGAATATATTGATTGGCCAATATTCATACTTGTTAGATAACTGTGTAAACATTAATTTTTTAAAACCAAAAATATTTTGTAGTTTTAAGAAAATAATGACAATAAACAGGGTTTTGTTTTTTTTTTTAAGTGAGAAAAGTCTTCTGAAATCTCTCCAACTAGGATCAGAATGAAAAGAAAACACTTTGAAAGAGATGACTTGAAGTCTGATTTGGAGTCAATGTGGCCTAACAGAATCTCGTGCAGTATAGACTAAATACATTGTGTAGCTTCTATGGTTCCTTTCACCCTGCTCCAATTTGCCCAAGCTGAGCCCATCATTCCTAGTGAGTAAGAAGTCAGAGTAGTATCCACTGGCTGGTTCATGAACCCTAGGAAAGCCAGGTGTATTTCTTCCTAGAGCCTATTGGAAAGCAGTGGCATGATTCCCAGTCAACTTTAATGCAAATGAAAGTCACTGCATTATTATTTTTAAATTCATAATTCTGATTTTTAACTGAGATATACTTGCAGCTGGACCACATTCAGGAATATAGAGTCACCTAAATTAGTTTTAAAACACACTAAGTTTTTTCTTTCCTCAAATAGAGGTCCTTCTGGAATTAGCTTTAATGAATAGATGAGAATAATGCATAATTAGCATATCAGTTGTTTAACACATTCAAGAGAATAGCCTTCTTTAGCAGTTTAAGAAATGTATGTATATAAAGACTCTGAGTTATGTTTATGGTTTTAATGTGTTCAATAAAACTCTGCTTCATGGATCCTCCAAAGGTCAGTTTTTATCCAGCCTATGTCTGCATTTCTACAAATTGTGAGCTTGAGAACTCCAAAATGAAGAGGGTTTTCTATACAGTAAATAAAGACACTCAGTGGGAACACTTAACAATACCCAGCTCTGACCCATTCTAAATGTCTGCTTTTGCCTTTTGTAGTGAAAGATGGCTCCATTAACCTGGAATCCATTCTTTTAATTGTTATTTGTTTTAAGGTACAAAAATGGAGAAAAGAAATGTCTTGACCACTTGATCCACATTGAGCTATTTGAAAAAATAAAATATACAACAATTGTGCTGCCTTGAATCTCTTAGCCAGCTACCTCTCTTTGCCATCCTGCAAGAGAAAACCAGTCAAGCCTTGCCCCATGCCTGGTAAATGCAGACTGCTTTCTCATCAACAAAGACTCAAGAGTTACATGTGGAGGGCACACTGTTCTTTCTACCTACTACTTATGTTTAATCTATTCCCAAATCTTGTAAATTTTATCAAGTACCACTTTCCTGTATCTCTACCAACTTCACCTTAGTCTTAGGTACAATAACCACTTATTCACACCTTCCGCCGCCTTCTTATACATGTAAGCCATCTTTAAAAATACCAGGTAAGGTAATCCTCTAGCTGAATGAACTCATTACAGCACTCTCCAACTTTATTGCTTGCTGTTCTTTAGAAAAAAACACCAAAACCACAGAAATGGGTTTTCAGTTCTAATCTTGGCCCATTTTCCTTGTCTTTCAGTTCTAATTGGTCTATCATCCCTGACTTGCACTATGGTAGAGCACACAGCACACAGGCATTCTTTGCCTTCTTTGAGAGACTTGGTTCCCCATTGCTACCAGATGTTTGCCGATTCCTTCCCTTCTTCTCTGGGGAGTATACTCCCCTCAAAAATCTCCCTTCTTTAGGGCTCAGCTTTTGTTATAAAGCATGTATTGTTTTCTTGATCTTTCTGGAATCCCCCAGGAGCAGGTCCTATTCTTTCCTGCTTCACTTGCTTTTTGTTTTGCTTGAAGAATTTGTATACTCAAGTATTTACTTGTATGATTGTTTGATTACTGTCAGCATCAAAACCTCATGATGGTTTTTCTCTGCTGGCTGCCATAGCTCAAGCTCTGGTTGTTGCCTCTGACATTGGAGGTGGCCAGGGGCACATCCCCACCTGCTGAATAAGGAAAGAAGGAGCTGGACAAACTCACCGCACTCATGAGCGAGTCCAGGACGCTAACGGCAAAGGCTGTCCCACAAGCAAAGGGCTGTGTGAGATATAGTTCTGTGTCGGGGTCATCGTCGTCATCTTGGTCCAAAAACTGAACATTTGTGTCATTCACTAGAAAAAGCATAAGGCAAGAATGAGTACCTAAGAGGATACAAGGGCAGTGAAGCCAGAGACCAGGTGACTGGTTTAGAGACATGGAAATCACTGCAAAGGAAACAAAAACATAGGGAAGCTGTCAATGGATCTTGGGACTGGGAACCAGTGGGACTCAATGGACTGCTCCTATTGGGTTGTTTAAATTTCTGAGAGCTGGAGAGCAATGCGGTGAAGCAGGCTTGCTCCCTGGCAGGCTGCTGAAGACTAGTAGCATATACTGACTAGTCCTTTAGAATAGTTTTAGAATCATGACCGAAAAACACCTATGAGAGTTTTTTGGTAGCCAAGTCCTTTGAGATATGAATATATTTCAACGATGAGTAGCCATGCTGGGGATAGTAAGCCACAAAGCAAAGAAAGCAACTTATTCAGAGGAAAAGAGCAATGGACCATGAGCAAAGCAAAGGCAAATAGCAAGGAATTCACCCTCTGGCACGATCCATAGTCTGTCCTGGGGATTGGCCTGGGTAGTGAGTGCCTAAATGTCCACAGAGCTTGAATTCAGGCACCCAATCAACAGGTCCCAGGGAACCCTCCGGAATCCCCAGGGGGAGATGGTGGGTGGATCCCAGTTGCCTTCTGCTGCTTGCTGACAGGGTTTTCTCTGAATTCCAAGTTGCAAGGCTCTACATTCTCCCATTCCCCCTCTGAAACAGCTCAATCTTTTCTGTGCTACTTCAGCAGATATAGCATCACTGGATGCTGTATTTCATTTCCATTTGAGGAGCCCTCAAGGATTCCTCCTGCATACAGGCTCAGACTGATTAGTTGTGTCACTCAGATGTCTTTAGCTCATTAAAAATTAAATGACAAATTAATTTCCATTCCCATCTTGGCTTCAGAAATTATCACTTTTGCAGAGCAAGTAATAGGGGAAGTGTCGTTGGGAGGCGGGAAGGAGGGCACATGTGCGTTCTGGAATAATTATGGTGCTTTTAAGAAGACAATAGATGAGGTTTCCTTTCTCTGAATCCTCCCTGTATGTATCAGCAGCTCATTCTCATTCCTAGAGTTATTGTTTTAATTTTTTAAAGTAACTTTCTTGATAACTTTTCTTTTAAAAAAAAGCTTTTGTTTGTTTATTGCAAGAGGCAGAATAAATGGTAATAGGATAAAAGGCTAGGCATGGAATTATTTTTAAATGACACCATCTTTTTTTCCCTAGAGAAAGACTCTAATGGAAATCTTTGCTTCATTTTTTCAAAGTTGATCACATTGTGGTTTCTGCTGCTCACAGGTTCCAAATCTAGCTTCTGACAAATGGGCAGACTTTAAGTCCACACTGTGTCACCAACCTCCTTGGGCAAAGGATTGCATCATCATGTACCTTAGTTGCTATATCTGTAAGGTGGGGGAAAGTATAGCAGTTATCTCATAATATTGTTAAGAGACTTCATTGAAATCATATGTGGACCAGGACCTAGGTCCTGCCATGTGCTGGATAAATGTTTTGTCACAATTGCCCTTCTGATGTTGAATGTGTACTAACATTACATTGTGAGGATGCTCAGGTTCACTCTGTCTCTCTCAGAGACACTAATGCTTTCTTTTCGTGGATCCTTCAAGTGTTAGCTTTTCCTCACCTTCCTCAGTTTGTCCTGTTAAAATGAATAAGTTTGGCTTAAAGCTGCTTCACACATATTTCAAGTTTGGCCTACACTTGTCTCTGTATACATGAATCTGTAACCTAACTTGATATAAACACTGTAATCTATCCTTGTAACAAATAGCTGAGTCTCAGCCAATCACAAGAAGCCAATCAAACTAGGCAGATGTTACATGTTACATGTAACCAATCAGGCTGTCTCTACACCTCACTTCCCTGTTCTTAGTTTCCTTTCCTTTTTTTCTGGCTATCAATATAATTTACCTGTATTCTGAACTATTTGAGCTTCCCCATTTTAGAATTGCAAATAATGTCAGTTAATATTTCAAAACTACTTTGCTGTAATTTTTCTGTATGTATGTGTATGCTGGTCCTGGGGCTTGAACTCAGGGTTTGGGTGCAGTCCCTAAGCTTTTGTGCTCAAGGCTAGCACTCTATCACTTGAGCCACAATTCTACTTCCTGCTTTTTGTGTGTGTGTGGTTAAATGTAGATAAAAGTCTCATGTAATTTTTCTGCCCAGACTGGCTTCTACTGCAATCCTCAGATCTCAGCCTCTTGAATATCCAGGATTGCAGGTGTGAGCCACCACTGGTGGCCAGCTGTAATTTTGTCTTTTAACAGTCAAAAAGCATGTTGTTAGTCATAGGCATTCTTCTTTGGAGATCTGGGAATGTAAGCTCGAGCCCACATGTGAAAGAATGTGCTTACCCATAACAGCTGCTGGTAATGTATGTATATATCTATATCGTCAAGAGGCAGCATCTGTTATTTCTTTTCAAGGGACAGGGAGAGGATGGCATTAAACAGGGGGTGAAATGGCTATATTTGTAGAGGGGACTCTAGATTTTCAGTCATTGGAAATAGACTCTGAAGCACTAGGCAGAGTTCAAGGAAAATCTTGCCTATTGTTCTGGGCTGTCCATTCACAGGTGAAGAGCCAGAGTGGCTCAAAGCCCATCTCCCAGAACAGCAATGCAAATACTGTCAGAAGACAGTGTGTTAAATGGTGCCACACATTTTTTTTTTTTGCTGTCAATCATGAGGCTTGAACTCTGGGCCTGGGTGTTATCCCGGCACTCTTCAGCTCAAGGCAAGCGCTCTACCACTTGGTGGTTAATTGGAGATAAGAGCCTCATGGACTTTCCTGCCTGGGCTGGCTTTGAACCATGGTCCTCAGATCTCAGCCTCCTGAGAAGCTAGGATTACAGACGTGAGTCACCAGCACCTAGCTCCACACAAAGTTTTTTTCTTGTGTAACCTTGAAAATTAACTGAAAATCTTTCGGCAGATAAAGACTGACCTGGTATTGTAGAGCACACATCTCAGAACATGTGGATAACTGGGAAATATCTATGGAGGTGTGGGATGGGAGGAGACTTGTTCAGAGGATAGTAGTATGACTACCAGAGAAATGGGGTTTAAGACAAAAGGAAAAGGTGTGAACATCAGAGTGCCTCCTCAAATAACCAAACTATTCAAATTATTAACTCAGAGCTACACAAAGCTCCTCCATCCCCACCTCCCCACTAATGACAAACCAGGATAATCTAGTTAGTGAGTGGCCATGAATTCCAATTAGCAGAAGAAATTCCTGGAATTGATATTTTTGAAATACTGCTATAGGTTTTTGAGATGGAAATGTTTGGGCGAATTTTTCAACCAAAAATTTGGGCCACATGAGCACCCTGGGTCTTTTATGGCCCCTACAGTTTTGAGACAAGCAATCTAGAAACCTAGGCTTTTAGCCAACTCCACTAAACATGAAAAAGATACCTCTCCTAGGCTTGGAAACAGAAAAATAGTGAGGTACTCCTTGACCCGAATGATTTTGTCCTGATAAATAGCTACATCTACAATAAGGCAGTGGTGAATGGTGGACAATTTATTCCTTCCTTTCTAGACACCTCACAAGTAAGATTACTGTGTTAAAAGCCTGCTCTCTTATTTTGAAATATATTTTGGGGCCAAGAAAATAGAGTGCTCCTTTCATTTGTGAGTCATTTGAAGTCAGGAGCTTTCTCCACCTCTCCATCTATACCTCTGCTGGCAGCCTTCTCCCTGTCTCTATTTAGAAGATCAATCCCCAGTCCTGAGACCTGCTACTGATGGGTGCCCTTCATAGAGGTTGTTCACCAAGTCATGGCAACCGTGGAAAGGCCTGACAAATGCAGTTATGACCAGAGGTCTTTATCTTCCAGACAAATCCACTATGAACCTCTCAGAGAGGGCTCTGGGCCACCTGGGGTTGAGAGTCAGAGTGCAGGGCCGCCGACCTCATCTTCTGTACCCCTCTCAAAATCTGGCTTTAGGTAGAAAGGATCCCCTAGGAACTAGCTGCTTTTATGATTTCAGAACCAGAGCTTCTGAGAAAGGGCCTAGTAGGGGGAAAAAAGGCAAATAAAATCAGAATAAAGGAAAATAAACAGCTGGAGGGAAAGTACCATCTTAGGTTTCTTATCTTAAAATTTTTATATTCCTCCTTTGACTTCCTCTGAGAGCCGTGAAGACATGTCAGTCAAACTGACAGTGTGTTGGAAGAGGAATATAGAGAGAAGGCGTGAGTGCAGGGTACATGTGCGGGGGTGGAGTGGGGGTGGATGGAGAGAAGGCTCAGGCCACAGAAAATGAATTAGAAGCAAAGATGCTTTGGAAACAACTGCCAGGTCAGATGGGTGTGATCAAAGGTAGGCTGATGCTGTGTGTGGGGAAAAATCATTAAGAAAGGCCAGGACAAGACAGTCGATTCTAACCAGAGCCACAAATAAAAACACATTCAAAGCAGTGCCATGGGGTAGTGCTTTCTGTTACAGCCCAGTGAAATAAAAATAAAAAATAAAATAGAAACAAAAAAAAACCCAAGCCAATGATTGTTGGAAACACCAAGAAGAAAACAAAAAGAGATACTGATATCAAGGAAAAGCAGCGCTTCTTACCCAGTTCAGTTATCATTAGAATGTGCGTCCCACTGTTTTTTTCCTGATTGACTGATACCAAAGGCAACTTGCCCGGTTTAGCTAATTGGATAGGGCATTTCAGGGTTAGGGGTAAGGGAGTGGAGAAAAGTACAGAAAAAAAGAAAGGAGTGAGGGAACAACAGAGAAAACATTCTCAAGTTAAAGGACCCAGGACCACAAGCAGTTTAGTTGGCATTTGTCTTGTGGGGAAAGAACCACTCAGCTTTGCTTAGCAAATTCATGCATGGTAGCTTGGGACCATAGAAGATGGATTCCACAGGCTACCAAGGTGGATCTCAAAATCCCCTCTTTGTTTTTTGATCAGAGTAGTCACTTGTTGAAAATGGCTTTTGGCTGAGAAATTCACCTAGGAAAAATTAAATGAAGAGTTGTACACATCAGCCCAGTGTTCTATCTCCTTCTCAGTATGGATGTGACTTTGTCTCGAGGTTTAGTATATCAGCAGACAGTTTACACTGTAGGAGCGATACAGATAGATTGCTCACAAAGGTTGCCTCTGGTGAAAAATCACCAGAAAGAATCACTGAACTAAGCCTTTCCTTCATTCTTCCCACTTCCCCAACATATGCCCCAATTTCAAAGTCGTCATCTTAACGCTCCTTTGAAAACAGTGGCCAGTATGAAGGAAACTGTCTATTCATCTCAGAGGAAAGATAGATCAGTTTTTCCTTCAAGTAATCTGCTCTATTTCTATCCATACCTTCTCTCCATCCCTTTCCGAAAACAAACTCCACAGTAGCCTATGAAGGAAAAAAGTGCTACGAACATCCTCATAACCTATATGATCTGGGAGGACAAAATAAAGATTATTTGTGTGTGTGTGTGTGTGTGTGTGTGTGTGTGTGTACTCAGAGTTAACCATGACCCCTACCGAGTTCAGTGATGATGGGGATGTTGACTCCGGTCGTGATGGATGGTTGGCGCAACATCCCGTGCACTGGGCTGTTATCTGGAGAAGATCTGTCCATTCCTGGAGGTGTGAATCCTAGTGGGAATGGAAGAGAGGAGAGAGAAAAATCAAAGAAACGCACAATCCTCGTCCCTGCAATATGTAGCTTATGTGTTATTTATAGGTCAATAATTAGCACTTCTAGCAGAAACTCTGATGAATTTTTTTTATAATAAAGGAAACCAGTGTAATTCCAACCCACTAGGATAGTTCCCTAAAACTCTAGTCTACACCAGTGATTTATTCTGCTTACAGACTTTGATACCCCTCCCTTTCCACACACACACAGGAAGATCGACCTCTGTGACCTCTTGAAGCCAGCTAGGACCCACAGCACATGAAATACTCTGGCCTGTGAGAAGTGAGCAATGTGAAATCACTTCTGATACAAGTATGCCACTTGCCGTCTTCCTTTTCCCAGGCTACAGAAGCTGTGGGACACCAGTTACCATGGAGATGAAGGCTGGACAGCAACCCTGGAGAGTTACCCAGACCCACAAAGCATTTGGTCTAAATGAAAAGGAAAATCATATTGCTTTAAACCACTGAGATATGTTTGTTTTTGTCATTACCACAGCATAACCTAACCCACTCTGACTGTTAGCTTAAACCAATTGATTGCTTATCCTCCTGCCAGTGAATGCCTGAGGCCTGGCATTTGACAGAGTTCTCGTGTTGGGATGTAAGGGGGAATCTGAATCACTGAAGAAGAGATTCTCGCTGCCTGAATATTTCTGCAGTACAAAGCAGTCACCAGCAACACAGAACACCAACCTTGGACAACACTGAAAGATCCTGGCTGAAAAAAAAATCCTTAAGTTCCTAAGGTAACCACCCTAGAACCATCCTTTCTCAAGATTTCTTTTTCTCCTCCTCCTCTTTCTCCTCCTCCTCCTCCTCTTCCTCTTCTTCTTCCTCCTCCTCCTCCTCTTCCTCCTCCTCTTTCTTCTTTGTGGTGGTTCTAGGGCTTAAACTCAGGGCCTCACACATGCTAGACAGGAACTCTAACATTTGAGCCACAGTCCATCCTCTTTTAAAGTTATTTTTCAAATAGTGTTTCTCACTTTTTTCCCAGACTGGCCTGAAACAAGATATTTCTATTTATGCTACCTGTGTAGCTGGGATGTCAAGTGGGAACCACCACACTTGCCTTGTTTTATAGAGATGAGGAGCTCCCTAACTTTTTTCCTGGGTTTGCCTGAAAATACAATCTACCAAATTTCTGCATCCTGAGAGGGTGGGCCACATTGTCCTGCAGGATATCTTAATAGGTAAGACTTTAGCTGGGGCAGAGGTGGGGGTAGGGGGTGGTAACTGTTGGCTCATACCTGTAATCCTAGCTACTCAGAAGGCTGAGATCTGAGAATCACAATTTTAAGACATCCCGAACCAACCCAGATGCCCCTTAGTAGATGAATGGATCAAGAAAATGTGGTATATATACACTAATGGAATCCTATGCCTCCATCAGAAAGAATGACATTGCCCCATTTGTTAGGAAATGGAAAGACTTGGAAAAAAATCATATTAAGTGAAGTAATCCAGGCCCAAAGAAACATAGGTCCCATGGTTTCCTTTATTTGCAATAACTAGTATATGTCTGAGACAAGCAGAAATGGTCAGATAAGTTGAAGTTAGGCAAAATGAACCCCAAGATAAGGATTCAGATTTTTTTTCTTTGTTGAGATTGTTTCTAACATATTTATAAGATGATTTCTTTGTTGCTTTGTATGTCCCTCCCCCACAGTATAACCCCTGTTTTCACTGTATTTGATGTTGGTATAATTTGTGGAGGGGAAGGGCTAAAACAAACCATTTAAATAGGGATACAGGTGGACCCATTGCAACAATGAGATGTACAAGATGCTATGTCGAAAAATGAACTTTACAACTTTGGCGGGAAGCGGGGAGAGAACATGGGTCGGGGGGAGGTGGGAAGGGATGGGAAGGGGAAACAAAGGAGAAGGCAACAATGCTTGATAAGAAATGTACTCATTACCTTACCCATGTAATTGTAACCCCTCTGTACGGTATTTTCACAATTAAAAAAAATTACTAGGAAAAAAAGAAGACATCCCAAGCAAAAAAGCCTCTGAGACTTATCTCCAATTAACCAGCAAAGAGCCAGAAATGAAGCTGCAGTTCCAGCAGTGAAGCGCAAGCTTCGAACAAAAAAACTAAGGGACAGCGACCCCAGTACTAGGGGGAAAAAGATTTTATACACACACACACACACACACACACACACACACACACACACACACACACACACTCCCCTTTAAGTTCAAGTTTAATGAGAGTAGTGAGACATCACCTAGCCAAACCCAGAGACTAGTTCTTTGGGGTACATGTAGAGACATACCAATGTGAGAAACTTACTCGTTTCACACCTTCACTGGGTAGAAATGAAATTTCCTAACTGAAGCAAGCATAGGACAGGTGGAGCCATTGGCTCTGTGCTGGCTGTAAGGTAACTTGCACGCCCCTCCCCCCCAGCCTCAGAGGACAACACTTGATTTCTCCCCCTCACCTTTGGTCAAGTGTCACATGGGCTTCTCTGCAAAGTAGCATCTTATCCACACAAAGTCACTCACTAAGTTTCCGAGGACAAAACTTCAAATAGAAGATGTGACCGGATTTGACTCACTCCCCAGTAATATGACAAGATGGGGTTGAATCTGGCATTTGGAGCGTGCGTGAATCAGGAACGAAATGGCAGGTACTCAATAATTGCCTGTTGTTTTGGAGGTATATAATGCATGAAATGCCAGAAAAATATATAAGGGCTTTTTTTTATTATTGTTTTTCTGCTCTCCTGGGTATAAATTTCCTATCAAGTGCCAAACTTTTTTTTTCAGAAAGAAAAGTAGTTTTCCATAGTACCTTTTCATGATGGCACTTTGCTTTGTTCTTTATGTGAATTCACTGTGAACAGGGTAAGTCAATTTGAATGACATTATAGTGTCCATCTTCTTCAACTTTGGAACGTATGTGTTTTCAATCCAAGCCCATAACTACAAACACACATTTTAAATGCTAGCTGTTTTCTTCCCCTAGAATAGAAAGGGGGAAAACTAAACTGTTTTTATCAGAAGTTTCATTCAAGAGCATGAAAAACTGCATGTGACAGCTGTGCAGATTCAGTGGATGTGACGTTTTTGAATTTCTTCAACTTGACAAGTAAACACCTTAAATCGGTAATGCTATATGCATAATACATGGACTGTATTTTGACATCCATCATCAAATGCTGACTTGAGAAAATATGGGTTTGTACGTCAAGGAATAGCAACCATAAAGCAGGGAGAAATGCGGGTCACGCGGTATTAGGAAAACTGTATTTCATTACGGGACTTGCAACCAGCCAAGGCATCCTTTTATTTTATCTTATTTAAAGATTCCATTTTCAGTTGTGAAAAAAAAGATCAATTCCTTTGCATGAAACCTTCATTTAGAAATGACATGCTTGCTTCAGAGGCCTCTTTCCATTGGCTTTCATATTCCATTTTCCTCTTCACTCACCAAGGCTGGTTCCATTAGCATTTGCAACTGACCAACTATGAGGTGTCCACAAAGATATCCTTCCATTGACAGTCTGTCTCTCTCCCGATGTGTGAACCCACAAACAGTGTGCTTTTGTTGATTACAAAAACTCAGCAATAATAATACCTCCTTTCTGTTTAGTTGTCTGTGTCACTACTAAGGCTTGAACTCAGAGCCTTAGCTTTTTCTCTCAAGGCTTGGCACTCTACCTATGTCCACTTCTGGCTTCTTGTTGGTCAACTGGAGATAAAGAGTGTTTCCTGCCAGGGGTGCTTCAAACTGTAATCCTCTGAGCTCAGCCATCAGAGTAGCTAGAATTATAGGTGTGAGCCACCAGTGCTACTTCTCTAGTAGTATACTTTAAAAAGTTAACATCAAGCTAGGCACTAGGTGACTCACACCTATAAGCCTAGCTACTTAGGAAGCTGAGATCTGAGGATCCAAGTTCCAAGCCTTTCCCAGGCAGCCAAGTCTGTGAGACTCTAATCTCTAATTAACCACCCAAAAAAGCCAGAAATAGAGCTGTGGCTCAAGTGGCAGGGAGAGAGGGAATGAGAGAGGGAACAGCTGACACTAAGCAAAAGGAAAGAAATGTACATATCACCTGCTTTAGTAGAAATAGTTCTATTGTTAAAGTTTGTAGAGTTCCTAAGTCTTGTAGATTAAGATAATGATGATTATCATTTTGAAGGTTAAAAGGTGTTTGTGACTTTAGCTAAGTATAACTATGCCATAGTACTGTGAAATTTATGTAATCACTTAATCTCAATAAAGAAATATTTGGAGAAAAAAATAAAGTATATTTTTTAAAAGGTGAGTCTAGACACAGAGAGGATTAGGGTTTCCTTTAGGTACATAGAAAACTGTGCCCAGTTTTCATGAAGAAAGCTCCTAAGTACACTGGGTCCTATTTTCCACAAATCTCCCGCTCCTTTAATTACAGGAGTACCACATGCACTCCTATCAGCTAAATGAAAATCAGCAGTGTCTAGAGTTCTTTTGGTGAGACTGGTTATTCCCAAGGCTTGGCAAAGCTAGGCCTCATTAAGGTGGCTAGGAAAACGTTAAGTGCCCTTTAATGAAAAGTTCAGAAAATGGCATTTCAGAAAAAAAAAAGGGGGTCAGGAGAAAAGACATGGTAAATAACGAGATTAGTTTTTAAAAATTTAATTGTTAATGTCCTCATAGGTACATGACATCTGAGAGACAGTACATGACTACAAGTAAAGAAGGACCATGGCCTAGAGAAGCTGTATCAGGAACAATGACTAAAGAGGGTACAGGACAGTGGACCCACCAATGTGTTAGAAAAGAAGAAGGGCTCAATGTTCTGGTTACTCATGGAACTCAAAGCAAAGTCACAAATGCTACAGCTAGACTGGTAAAGGTCACTGAGGATAAAGAAAGGGGCTTGCATAGAACTCGAAGGAAATAAAAACAGTAACAGTCAGCAGTTCTTTGGCAGTACTGGAACGAGGGTGGTTGAACTCAAA